AATGCTAATATCACTAATTGCTTCCTTTGGAAATGAAATTATTGAATAATTACATTCTTGTTTCTTCCCCTTTTGAGCCAAAATGAACTGGTTCATCAAGGTCTGAAATACCTCCCCACCTTCTCCATCTCTCATTGGTACAATGCTGTAGCAATCTCTCCTGGAGCTTAACATCTGTGGTGTGTGTATGTGTGTGGGGGGGGGGGAGGGGGTAGCTTTTGGATGCCTCCCTGAATCCATCCAAAAAAGACTTACATGAGGGGATGGACATACAACTGGGTCAGCTAAGGATTATTCCCTGCCTGCTTGATGTAGGATCCTATCCTACATTGTTTGCTTTTTTATTAAATGCTTTTGGTGAGAGTGAGCACATTTTTGATACTGTTTTTCCCCATATTTCTGTAAAATGATAAACTGAAAGCTATCATATCTAACACTGAAAACAGCGGATGTCCTTAGATGTTAAATAGGAGCCTCTGAAATTTAGAATTTAAATTTGCTGAAAAGAAATTATTTTCCTTGGGGAAATAGTGGAAAAAGTAAACAATGTTCTATCTTCTCTCCTTCTGCTGCTCCAATGACTCTTCAGATCCATAATCCATTATTAGGTAAGTAGCATTTAACATAAAACATATAAATAAGTATGTTTAGATTCTAGAAAGAGCTTATTACTTAGTCCAGTATATATTTTTCATTCAGTTGCTCATTCCTTGAAAATGTTGCCATTTACCAAAAAGGGGGGGGGGGAATTGGCAGATATTTCCTATTTTATTGTCTGTATTTTCATAAAGGCTGCATCTTATTCCTCTCAGAGTCTGTAACATTTGAATTTCCAATACACATCAAATAATCTACACAGATACCCATCTGTTCCACAGTTGGCCAATCAGTAGTTGTTGTGCACACTAAATGAAACAATAGGCAGTATCTTCCCTCCTTGTGCCTCATAAAATGTCAACAATGGCACATTGAACTGGTCTGAAAATAGTATTAAGAATGCAGAAGATGTATGGTTTGACAGAAGAAAGTGACATCTGTACTTTCATCCAAACGAGACATCTGATTATAGTGTGTTTTCTATAGTGAAATCATATTTAGGGGCTTAGGAAGGCATAATACATAATTTGCACTGGCACAAAGGACACGAGAAGCCTCTTTTGGGTTTAAACAGGCCACAACTTTTATTTTCTGCTGTACAGGGTCTAATTACAAGATTTACAATTAAGCTCCCAACACTTTGTCACGTGTGTGGGAAGGTGTAACCCACCCAAATGAGTGGTCCTTCACCACATATGACAAAGTATGTAAACAAATAACAACAACAAATGTTTAAACCCCTCCCCACCGGAAATGATGTCATATGACATCATATGATGTCACTAGTTAATGCATACATCACTTCCTTTAATTTAACCTTTGCCAAATTTACCCCAATTAAATTTAATTAGCCAGATTAATTTTCCTGTGGGGTGGAGGTCATTACCCGCCCCATTATAAATACAAACAAATTTCCAAATATAGACCCTAACCCCTAAGTTGTGACAAAGCTAATAATAACATAAATAACACATAAGTTATTATTACCATATGACCCATACCCAACAATATGATTATAGATTGATCTCAGGGAGGGCAAAAAACCCAGGGTGATAACCCTGGGAAAAAATCCCCTCCCGGACCCCGAAGGCGACCAGCCTAAGCCTGAGAGTAACCTAACATAATTCTTTAAATAAGGGTGGGTGGCTTGGGTTGCTCAGTTCAAGCTCTAAAATGGCTGCCGCCACATGGCAGCGCAGAGCTATAAAGAACAAGCTCTCATAGGAAGTCTCACGAGAGTACAATCACCATGAGACTTCTTTAACACAAGCAAGCAATGTGACTGGGCCAAACATGCAGGTACTCAGAGGCCCCTGCGCGCTTGACCAATCAGGCCTCTCATGTCCTTATATGGCCAGTGCAACAAGCAACCCCTCCCGACTCATCGGGGGGTGTCTTTGTCCTTCCCCAAAGACTTGGGCAAAAGCAAACTGCTGTAGCTTCTCCTAGGTTGTACATTCTTCCTCAATGATAATTTTAGTCATCTTGACCACACTTTAATGTTGCTTGGCTACATGTGTCTCAGTTTACATCTCTAAAATGTGGGATGGTATGATACTTGTTCTGTCTTTAAGGATGTTAATAAGGACTTCTGCCAACATCTGTAGTTTATTGTAGCACCAGAGAATGCTCAATGTCTTAGAAAAAAATAGTTAAGGCAGTCTGAAGCTGGATTATTTCTGGCAATCTGTATAGGCCCTAAGTGTCAAAATAAGTATGATGAGGACAGACATGTTTCTATAGGCATATATCAATCCCTTAAATGTATGGGTTTCTCCATGTTGTGAGTAGCAATGCTTATTTAATTTGACTGGTATAAAATTAATGTTACCCCAGGGTCCTTTTTGGTCTCTAGGACACTCCAAGACTAATAAAATAAAATAAAAGTGTTTGGGCCCAAATGCCTTCTAGTTGACATGTGCACATTGTAGTCCTCCTATAGCTTTTTCTAAAACAGGAAGTGATCAGGAACTGTCCTTCTCTCAACCTCAAACAAAGTTCAACATTTCCAAAGCAGTAAGCAAGAGGTCAAAACTATCCAGGGTCAAGAAAGCCATATATCAGAGTCAGGTCTCCAGGGAGTTGTGGTAGTCAAGGTGTTAAACAATCCAGGGGTTATAATCTAATAAAGATATTTCCACAAGCTAAGCTGTCAAGAGGAAGACTGAAGTTGTACTCAACAAAGCAGCCAGTGGTTGGAATTTCGTTATATATTTAGCATGTTCAACCAATGCCAAAGAGATTATCAGACGGAGGAGCAAAGCATCCTTATCCTGTCCTTAACCTATGGTACTGGTGCAATTGAGGGGAAGATTATCACACACACACATCCACATGCTTATCCCATTCTTCTCCCATCAATAAAGAATAATGGAGATGTCATTTGGTATTAATGGGAGTTTTGAAAAAGCATCTGAGGAAGTCTACAAAAGCTTATGCTGCCAACTTCTTTCTTTCAGCTAGTCTCAAAGGTGCTACAAGATCTCTCTACATACTAATCAGTATAGATATTTACTTCACAATGGGGGTATACCCATCCAAGTCAGTTCTGCAGGTTTTCATTTAGCAGAGGTGACAAGACAGTTAAGCACTAATTGCTCTCTATCAGTAAAACCATTTCATTGCCAGCAGAGTATGGAGATCAAGGAATTCTGCAGTTTAAAATGAGGCTTAGATTTCCTCAAGATGGACAAAGGGTCACGACTGCAGCCTTACTCTTTTCATGATGAATTTTTAACAATTTGTGTATACTTTGGCAACAGACAGCTTTCCTGTCTCATGCATCAGTCTAGTATTCATGTTTAAGCATACCTCGTTACAATAAGTAATGCAGTACAAGTAATGTATACATATACATATATTAAAAAAATTGAGTCAGTTGGCCCTTTGCAATGAGGCAATCTGGCATCATGAGAATGCCAGCCCTTTGAAAATAGTAAATCTGGTACCAGCAAATGATGTGGCAGATTTTGGAGGCATCTCTACTCCTAATGCATAAGAATTCAAAGCCTGATTTCTAAGAGCTAAGCATTCAAAGCTTCTCTTGCCAGAAGAATCTTCCAAGGCTTAGATAGATGGATCTCTTGCTTTCTGCTTCTCCCATGTTTTGCATTTCGAAATATCGGTTTCTTCCCAATTTGAATTCAATCTTCCCAATTTAAATTCAATCAAGAGAAGTAATAGTGCCACTCTATTCTGCTTTGGTCAGGCCAC